CGCTCCCACGACTACTAAAATCAAAATGTTTACCTAGAAACATGTGACGTTGAGAAGTTTCCAAGTACTGAGATTGCATCCCATGATTTTATGCTACAAAATCAAAATGTTTACCTAGAAACATGTGACGTTGAGAAGTTTCCAAGTACTGAGATTGCATCCCATGATTTTATGCTACAAAATCAAGCATCTAAGATTTTGTAAATCTTTTCAAATACTACTTGAACATGTTACTTAAGTACTAAAGGAGTGTTTTATTTGCTTTAAACATCAGTTTTAGTGTTCAAGGCTTACGCCTGTAATAAATAATTTATCAACACATAAAGCACAGTATAGCAACTTTCCAACGTGCTCACTTGGAAACAAATATGTTTTCCTTCTTTGTTAACTATTAAACTAAGTAAAGAGTTTTAAAACAACAAAAACTTTTAGTGTGGGAAACTAAATTTATAATTAATTGAACTGCCGAACAGTGTTAACATAGTATTAATTGAACTGCCGAACAGTGTTAACATAGTCTGGAAGTGGAACCATCTCCAAGTGGAAAAGGTGCACCAGGAAAGGACAGTCTCCAAGTTTCGAGCAGTTAACTTCCCGAAGTGATTGAAATAATGGCCGGTACTTCTGTATATCAGACTTCTTTGTAACGTTCGAAAACACCAGGCATTGAATAAGTGATGATCTGATGCTGCGCCTAAAACTGAAAGTGTCAATTTACACAACTATGTTGGGTTTGTTTCAGTCGAAATGCTATACACTAGACGAAAACTAAAGGCACTAAAGACTCCCCGGAATCAGTGTACAAATATGAAAAAACCTAACAACAAAAACATTGTTGATGAGTACATTCCCACAAAATACGTTTCAAACAACGTTTTTAAGGAGTTGATTGTATCTTTGGTCTAACACAACATTCAAAGGAGGTGACATACGCTTTTCAACAGGATCTGATTATTTTCCTTTGTTTTTCAGGTCATAAGAAACACGTTCAACTGATAAATTCACCATTTGCTTTTCGAATAATTTCCATGCGAACTTCATGCTCCCTTGCCTTCATACGAAGAGCTGCTATACTGGAGCTCCGACGGTCAAACTCAACAGTATCGGGTAGACTGCTCGTGCTTGATGAGGCTGAAGGAACGTGATTGAAAAGTCCTGCGTAATATTCGTTGGTTGACTCTCCTGGCAACTTTGGCCTGCTTTGAGCCGATAAATTAGCCAGTAATGTCTGAAACGATGTCGCTGGAAACGGAGAAGAAAATGGAGTTGACATGCTTATAGGCAGGAGTGAATTCGGGTAAGAAACTAAATCACGCAAGGCATATGCCGATGGCCCCATATATGATCCAATTGGTGGTAACAAAGCTGTAGCTGCGGAGGGCAAAAACACGGGAGGCAGACGCGAGGTGAAAAGTGCAGAATCATACGGTTTTCTAGTGAAGTTGAGCGTAGTATAATGATTTTGTGGTCCGAGGACTGTCGTTGCAGTGGTAGCTGGCGGCGGTAAGGTGTAAGGATTGTAACCTTGAACTTGTGTAACGTTCCCTGATGCTTTCTCCTGCTTTCTCCATTTGGCTCTCCGGTTCTGGAACCATACCTATAATAACAGCAAGAAAAAGTTAAAAATCAAGATTATCTTTTTAATACATACATTAATACTTATAAGATATGTAAAAATAAAAAGCACATGATTAAAGAAATCCGAAAATCCCTGGGCTTTCAAAGATAAACTTTTCATTTTGATGTCAGCTGAGTTTTACTTTTTATTATCATAATAAAGTGTCAAGATGAAAGATAATTTAAGAATGTGAATAAAGATTAGTGTATTGACAAAAATTATAAAAAAGAGTATAAGAAGAACATCATTTTTTGTTCTTTTCAACTAAATAAAAAAATAATAAAACCAAGACAGAGACTTGAACTTGAATTTTTATGTCTGTATTTATCGTGATTGTTTTTTCTTAAAAAAGTTAACAACACTACTGATTCCAATCAGTGGTGAATTATAAAAATGTTTTTGTTTTTTGTTCCGGGTGAATTACTGATGATTTATGGCATTCTTAAAAACGTATACCAAAAATTATATTTATTGTTCTCGGACGTAAGGGAATATTGTGTGATCTTGTACATTAACTTACTTTTGAACAATTGTTACAAATAAAACAAGGAAAAATCTGCCTTTGTAAGTTTTCATACAACAATTGCATTAAGACTTTAGATTACAGGGTTCATATTATAGAACCTTAAGGCATGCTAGATTGAACAAACGGCGACGAGGCTGGATTAATTACTAGATGTGATTAATATGCGTCATTACTGATGTCACTGATTACAAAACGAATCGGATTGTCTGCAACAACTACCGTAGCTGGCCCTGAAGGCCTTTTCTGGAGCATGGTGGCGTTCTTAAGACGACTATCTAGTGAGTTTTTTATTAACAGCATGATTATGTTCAAAGAACGAAAATAAAACACTTGTGTCATTCATTTTCACTAAATTATGGTGTGTGCTTAGAATACGTCGAATAATGTCATTAATGGGACTACTTTTATAATTCCAATTATAGTTTTGGAAGAAGAATAGATAATTATGTCGAATTCGAAGAGGGGGTATAAATATATTAATTTTTACTACTGTCTTAATTCTCAAATACATAAATCTTCTCTTGTTGCAGTTTAAGAAGAATTTAAGGTACCACATTTACAGACGAAATCTTTACAAAATCGCATGGATTATAAATTCATTTTCTTTTAGTCTTATTGACATGAAAATATAACAAATTACAAGGAAAACCATTTATAATTGTATTCATCGACATTAACTCACGTGTAATTTAAAACTGTTTCTTACAGAAAGGATATAGAAATTGTAAGAGAGGTTATGTGAAGAAAAGAAGGCTGAAACTGGATGTTCCCATTTTTCACTTCTTCAGAGAATTTATTACAAAATATAAGCTGCCAAGTAAAAAATTAGAAAACCCTTATTAAGCCACGTGTAAATTCATTTTAATTAGTGTGTCTAATAGAATGTTTTAAATAGATTTCTCCTCATTCTCTTCAAGTTCATTAACAACCTTGGGATATCGCCAAAACTTCGAATAAAAAGATGAAGCAGAAAACATCAGTAAAACTCTTTCAGATACTTAGCGTTTGTCAATTCTTCTTTAATAACCGTCTTATAATAATCATAAAAAGAAATTCATGAACAAAAGATAATTTCACTATCATCCCGTGTTACATGGTACTCTGAATAGAACTACTTCTATCACAAAGGACTTTGAATGTTTTCTGGACAGAATTAGACACTATCGTACATAATTCTGAATGTTTTACAATAAGTTTAGACTCAGCTATGGAACACTTTGAGCGCTTTTAGAAAAGAACTAGACGTTTTCGTACAGTACAACACTTTTTTTTGATAGGCTACGCAATTAAGATTTTATTTTTAAAACGAGACTGCGGTACACCCGTCTGGACACTTTGCGGTTGAAACTAGATGTTTTATGAAGACAACTAGTAAACTTCACAGAGCACTGTGAGCACCTTCTCTGTAAAGTATTTCTGTGTTAATTTGAATTATGTCATGCAACACTCTGAGAAATCAAACAACACTATGAGTGTTTCCCGATTAAAACTTAGACCATGTCACACAATAATGACAGCTCGTTTTAATAAATGTAGTTTTTATTTTCATAAAGCAAGTTGGGTGCTTTTTGATTTATTTAGATTACATCATACAACACTTTGTATGTTTTAGTTTTTTGTTTTGTAAAACAATTGAGCTAAGTCTTTTATCATTCTGAACTATTTCTGAATGACAATGAACAGTATGGTGGAGCGCTCTGAGTCTTCTTTTAAGAAATTTAGACTCTGTCATACAGCACTTTTAATTCTTTCTGAACGACAATAAACAGTATGGTTGAGTGACCTGCGTCTTCTTTTAAGAAATTTAGATTGTGTCATACAGCACTTTCAACTCTTTCTGAATGACAGTAAAGAATATGGTGGAGCACTATGAGCCTTCTTTTAAGAAATTTAAACTGTGTCATACAGCACTTTTAACTCTTTCTGAATGACAGTAAAGAGTATGGTGGAGCACTATGAGCCTTCTTTTAAGAAATTTAAGCTGTGTCATACAACACTTTTAACTCTTTCTGAGTGACAGTAAAGAGTATGGTGGAGTAACCTGAGCTTTCTTTTAAGAAACTTTGATTGTGGCATACAGCATTCTCAACTCTCTCTGAATGAGGTGAGCTACAATATTAGAAAAAGCTTTAGCAACGCACGTATGATACACAACAATTACGAACAACGTTTAATTGATACGAAGTGGTCATTTTATCATAAGTATAATGCATCATTGCAGAAAATCGAAAAGCAAAGCAAATACGTTAACGATCCGCTAATATATTTTATTTGCTTTAAATAGAATAGTACAGCTTATTTTTATACTAACATACATTTGTCAATATATGATTGTAAAATATTGTTCCAAATGTCCAAGTTGTTGGTTACTGTTTGACCTTCTCACTTTCTTTTTATGTCAATAGTGTCTTTTATAGGACTGGGACTCTCGGCAGACAAAAACATAGTTGTGAGTGTCACATCTGTTTCTTTATCTCTCCAGGTATAATTTCGTCACATTTGCTGCATGCTTGGGATCATTGTCTTGTTATTGAAGGGATGACATGACGAATAAGAATTAACTTGTACCTGTCAACAGTAAGGGCGCCATCAACTTTGTGCACATTTTCAACACCATTGGTTGAGATTCAACCTCCACTTGTATTGATTGTTCACCCATCATGCTTCACTTTAGAAATACGTTAACAATGATACCATTCTCTCTGCCATCAAACAAACCATCGTTATTTTTGTAAAACTATTTAAATTTTAGATTAATGTGTAAAGAGCAACCTTCTCTAGCTTTACTAAGCTCGTTGTTTAAACTCTGGTGCTCATTTCACCCTTTTGCCCGAGGTTGTCTCTTCTAAGCAGTAATTTTTGAGCAGCTACACATCTATTGAAGCCACAATGTGCTAATGTCTTCTGAAGGTAACATTCACAATTGCACTTACAGTCAGATCATTAGCAAGATCTCTACTGGACTGTCGTTACTTAAGGAAAGAACATATTCTGAGTTGCTTAACATCACTTTTGGAAAGTTTAGACTTTCTACATCAACTTCTATTATCAACAGTGCTAGTTTTACGTAACCTCTTCAGATTTTTCTTAAAGCTCCTACTGAAAAATGGAGTAGTTTTTACCAATCAAAAACTTTCTCACATTTATCATGTGATGTTTTATGTTTTTACTTAGGAACCATGAGTGCACTTATCACATGCATTACTGCTGCGAATAACATGACTGTCTGTACTTTCATAGACATTACAATGGTGTGGCACTGTCTGATTGGTTTGATGACAGCCAATCACAGTTTATATTATTAGCACGTGACTGACTGTGCTCTGCATGGTGCAGCTTAGTTTCATGTAATGGAAAAGGAGCAATATCTGCAATTTATACCAATTTTATTCACTGTTTACACAATTATTTTCCATACAGCACGTTCTTTTGGAAATACGTCTCCATCTAAAGTTTAGTCTTTCATATTATACCGAGTTATCTATCATTTATTAAGCATATAATGCGGAAAAAAATACTTGCTAGCAAGCACAACCTGAAAAAATAAAACCTTTTAAAGGCGGCATATAACATCATGTGGTAATCTGGTTAAAAGATTATCATCAGAAAACCTACACATAGAACTACGCAGCTAATTGCTTTATCTTCAACTGTGGGTTATTCTGTTTATAATACCCGTCACGTGCACCAGAATTATATACACTTTTAATGCAATATTTCAAAAACAAATCTAACGGCTTAGTATAAAAACTATAAAGTGTTAAATGAGTTAAGCACTAGACCTATATAAAAAAAAATATTTTTCTTGAAGAAAAGCGATATTATTTATAATGGTTCATTTATTTAGTTAGCTCTTTCATGTATTTCTTACTAAGAAAAACATGTTTTTGTCTGTCATGTAACGCTTCAGAGTTCTCTCTAATTTTTTCTGATTCATAAACCTCATCGCTCTACTTGAAGCAATAAATGCCAGAATATCGAATAAGAAGCAAAAACAGCAGAATGTGCCTTTAAAATCGAAGGTTCGATACCCTTCGGTGTAACACAACAGTTAGCCCAATGTGGCTTTGTTCTGAAACAAATAAACAATTCTCTCGTTGACAGATTGTTTAGGCAGAGTATTCATGTTGAAATTTAATTTGAATGGATGACAATTGCCTGTTGAAGAAGCAGAAGTATAGAGGACGTTTCAGGATTGAAGATGAAAGGCGAAAGACTTTCGAAACGTCGTCCTCTATACTTGTGTTTCTGTAACAGGCAGTTGCCGTCCATTCAATCTAAATTTCAACAATTCTCTTCTCTTTCAATATAGTAAGAATCTTAAACGTACTCTCATGTAAAACCAAGTCATATTCGCCAAATACCCGAACCCGTATGTAAGATTTACTATTCTTTACTAAATGTACATGTTCTCTTATACCTGTTTCTAACCATCCAGTGGTCGAATCTAGAATTACGTCAAGTTGTGGATAGGTTCTACAAAAATAATTACATAACTGATTTTTCACATTTAATATGTCTGCTTTTATATGGTAATACAATAGTTTCATTTGTTTCGGAACATTGAATTTGTATTTATTTGAAATTATTGACCTGATCCAAATAATTACATATAATGCCATCTATCATACCAAAATGAAAAAAACACTTTTGACTAAATTAAATACTGGTTTTATTATTAAATGAAAACACGAAACAAGAACAACACATTAAGCACAGAGACAGTAAGATACAAGAAGTAAAGAAGAACGCAACATTAGACACAGAGGTTCTAAAGTAGTTAAAAATATCACGAGATTGGAACAGGGATATCAAAGTACAAGCAGTAAATAAGAGCATAACAATAGACACAGAGTACCAAGACAAGCACTAAACAAAAGCCAAACATTAGATACTAAAATACTAGAAGTAAAAAGAAGAGCACGACATTAGACACAGGGTACTAAAGTTAATAAAAGAAATAAATACGATATTCAATACAGGGTTCTATCTAAGTTACAAGAAGTAAACAAGATCACCACATTCGACAAAGCGTACTAAAGTTAATAAAATAAATAAATACGATATTCAATACAGGGTTTTATCTAAGTTACAAGAAGTAAACAAGATCACCACATTCGACACAGCGTACTAAAGTTAATAAAAGAAATAAATACGATATTCAATACAGGGTTCTATCTAAGTTACAAGAAGTAAACAAGATCACCACATTCGACACAGCGTACTAAAGTTAATAAAAGAAATAAATACGATATTCAATACAGGGTTCTATCTAAGTTACAAGAAGTAAACAAGATCACCACATTCGACACAGCGTACTAAAGTTAATAAAAGAAATAAATACGATATTCAATACAGGGTTCTATCTAAGTTACAAGAAGTAACAAGTATCACCACATTCGACACAGCGTACTAAGTTATAAAAGAATAAATACGATATTCAATACAAGGTTCGTATCTAAGTTACAAGAAGTAACA